CCCCCCCCCCCACTTCCCCCTCCTGTACCCATCAGATGCTGTTATTTTATAGTGTACTTGTTTTTTTTTGTTTGTTTGCTTCTGTTTTTTGGTTGGGGGAGTGGGGCATCCAGAAGATCCCCCACTGGGGACTCCTAGTTATAATTCCTTGGTGCAAAGCCAATTGACTGCTGAAAAGTCTCCTCAATTCCTGGGGTCTGGCATGGTTCATACTAGCCTCTTCTAGAGTAGATTATCTTTCTCTTCTAGATGGTCTTTGTGGATAGAGTCCCTCTCAAAGCTGCTCATGGACAGGTCCCTTGCATGAAATGCACATTTACCCTCAGCAAACACCTTTACTCTGTGTTCATTAGGAGTGTAGTACATGCCTGCCTAACCTCTCTTTTCACTCTGCCACCATGTGCTGTCCAGATCTCTCTCCCCTTTACAAGTTTCTCAGGCATTTCTTAGTTAAAAGAACCCATGTGTCCCAAATTCCAGAGAGCACATACCGGCTGGTTCTTTGTGAGGCCTCTTCAGATGGTTAGGCAAATGATAAGAAGTGGCCTCTTTAGGGGCACCTGGGTGGCTCAGTCTCTTAAGCGGCTGACTTCAGCTCAGGTCATGATCTCACGTTCTGTGAGTTCGAGCCCTGCGTTGGGGTCTGTGCTGACAGCTCAGAGCCTGGAGCCTGCTTCTGATTCTGTGTCTTCCTCTCTCTCTGCCCCTTCCCTGCTTGTGCTTTGTCTCCCTCTCTCTCAAAAATAACAAACATTAAAAAAATAAAAAAAAAGGAAGTGGTCCCTTTACTTTCCCTTGCTAGAGGGGTAGGAATGCACAGCTTTTTCTACAACTGTGTGAGAGGAGATATTTTCCTACTAATCTATCCCTAAAGAAACAGACACTCCTTTGATATACATTTGTCATAGAGGATGGGCTAAATTTTGCCTATCAATGGCTTGATGTCTCTCCTTGGAATGCATATTGTGTCATAACTTTGTTGTCAGCTTTGAGCCTCAGGTGTAACTGATAAAAGAGCCCTGCCCTTTTTTATTACCTGTGTACATGTTTTTGGCATTTTGATAACAACTTTCATACTGCCAAAGCATCCACTTACTTGGACTTTTTAACATTACACTTAAGAGCATGATGGCCATGGATGTTTTAATTAAAAACCATCACGGCTGACATGCACAAGAGGGGACATTTTACAATGTCTGAAGACACATTTGGTTGTTACAAAGAAGTTGGGGGAGGCTTGCTTTTGAGCGGAGGCCAGGGCGCAATGCACAGGACAGCCCCCACCACACGGAATGTCTGGCCCAAAATGCCAACAATGCCGAGGTGTAGAACCCTGTTTCTGTAAGTGTAATTCATTGCATCTGTAAATGATCTTGCAGTAGCAAAAGACCTTTTATATCTACATGGTCCGTTTTATTCCTTACAGAATTCCATTAAATATAGAGAAAGAGGAGTAGTGGTAGCAAACCCTTTCTGTCTGTGAGGAAACTGGTGCACAGAGATATTGTTTTCTCTAAGTTGTACATGACAGAGCCAGAAGCCAGGTGTAGCTACTCTGAAAGTCATCCATTCTTTGGAACATGTAGTTTCATGTACACATTGTGAACCCAGCACAGTGCCTGGAATGTGGTATGGCATGTCCAAGTACCTATTGGATGGGTGGATGTGTTCTGACAGAGAAGACACTCTCAGAGGCCTGAGGGAGAAAGGACAACCCTTGTAGAGCACGTACAGGGCTTCTGTGCTACACTGGGTATTCCTGTCATTCAGTCCTCACAGTGATGCTAGGAGGTGGGTAATGCCACTTTCAGATAAGAACACAGAGGCTTAGAAATGTGGTATGGGTAGGGGCACTTGGGTGGCTCAGTCGGTTAAGTGTCTGACTCCTGATTTCAGCTCAAGTCATGATGTCACAGCTCGTGGGCTTGAGCCCTGCATCAGGCTCTGCACTGATGGCACGGAGGCTGCTTGGGATTCTCTCTGTCCCTCTCTTTCTCTGCCCTTCTTCTGCTCTCCCTCTCTCTCAAATAAATTAATTAACATTAAGAAAAAAAAATAAATGTGATATGGGTGTTGGGCAGCTCAGCATTTGAACACAGAGCTCTTGCTCCATGCTCTTTTGTTAAATTTTAATTCCACTTATCTGCACATGATGTCATGGTTCAGGATAGGCACGAGTCCCTGTGTGTGTGCCTTAAGCAGTAACTTAAATTATTCTTGTCCTCTGAACACATTTCCCACAAAGACATTGACTCCCAAGTGAGCCTATAAGACATATGCTTTTGGGCGATGCTAAGTAGGTTATTTAGGGTTCAGTGTTCTTTGAAGGTCAAATAAACATTTCATCATAGTGTACAAGGAGTTTGGCCTGACTTCGCGCATTATTTTTTCTCCTCTAAGGTGAGAAATTACTGAAGGTTGATAATGTTTTTGCACATTCAATATTTGAGATGAATGGGAAATCCTTTTTTTGTCGAATTATTTTTTGTTTATTTGTTTATTTTGAGAGAGAGAGAGCAAGCAGGGGAGAGGCAGAGAAAGAGGGCGAGGGAGAGAATCCCAAGCAGTCTCTGTACTATCAGCACGGAGCCTGATGTCGGGCTCAGACTCACAAATTATGAGATTATGACACAATCTGAAACCAAGAGTTGGATGTTTAACCTACTGAAACACCCAGACACCCCCTATGAATACTATTCTTAAATAGTCAGTTACAAGAAGAAAAAAAATCTTTCCATGATTTATAATGTCCTTGTTCTTTAAAGTGTTTCCCAAAACCATCACCTATGGCCTGCTCCCTGTTTTTATACAGATTCCCCTACACCATATCCGTGCTCTCAGGTGTAATGTATTGTTGCTTTCATGCTGTTGCAAGAGACCATATGTCTCCCATTGCTGAAAATCGTTACTATCTGGCCTCTATTTTCAAAAAAAAAAAAACATTTGCTGGCCTCTATTTAAAAAAAAGATAATAAATCAAAATAATTTCCTCTGTGTTTTTTCTTGTGGTATCAGATATGCAGATACTTGCAGAAACTGCATTAATGAATGTAGTTTCCTATTTATCATTCACATTTGGCATCATGTATATTCAGTTACTGAGCCAAATTCTTCTGATGCCCAAACTTCCTTCAGGAATAGGTTATATATTTTTAGAAGGCAACACATACATTAGTTAAAGCCACAAGAAGGCATTTAGCAACTGCTTCAATTCAATGAACACAAATGAATGTTGGAACTCTGTTCCAAGCAGTGGGGTTACAAATATAAATTTTAAAAAGGTCTGAATGCTCAGAGACCAACAGGACAGGACAATCTTAATCCAGCATGAAAGGTCAGGAAAGCTACCACCCTATCTTATCTCAAGTATGTTTTAAAAAAGAAATTGGGAGTGGAGAGACCATGCCAGGCCAGTCATTGCTATGGTAGAAGTAATAGTACCTGACGGACTTTCAAAACTAATGCACATCCAGCGACCATTCTAAATTCAGTCAGAATCCACCATTGTGGTTTATAAATGAGAGCTTTACTGGTCATTCCAGACTGCTGCTCATGTAAGTACACCATGGTATAATTTGCCTGCAATAAACATCCTTCTTGTGTTTTCTCCAGTGCCAAAGTAATGTGTATTTTATTTTTATTTATTTGTTGTGGTTTCTTTTGTTTCCAGCAACCTACACACGATATATAACTTGGAATGTAGTAAATGCCAATTCCTTTTTTAGGGGTATCTTTATTCACATATTATCATAATTTATTCTCTAAGATACTCGCAAGTTTGAGATACTTGTGGTAAATATGTCATATGAAATAGGACTATAAAATTAGGAATATGGGATAAAGTACTGTGAAGTACGAGATAAACACCTATACTGGGAGTTGATAAACATATATTATATATATGCATTTTTTTGTAAAGGGCTTCTCAGGAAAATTATTCTGCCTTGTGGGCTATACATTGTCTCTCACAGCTTTCCAACCCTGCCATCATCATCAAAAGTATCCACATATCATATATAAATGAACAGTTGTGACTGTGTTTATTTCAAAACCAGACTGCAGACCAGATTTGGCTCTTAGGCCAGTTTGCTGTCCTTGGTCTATACGAAACATTCCGTTCCAGGGGCACCTGGGTGACTCAGTTGGTTAAGCTTCCAACTTTGGCCCGGGTCATGATCTCGCAGTTTGTGAGTTTGAGCCCCACGTCAGGCTTTGTGCTGACAGCTCAAAGCCCGAAGCATGCTTTGGATTCTGTACCTCCCTCTCTTTCTGCCCCTGCCCCACTCGCACTCTGTCTCTCTCTCTCTCTGTCAAAAATAAACAAACACATTTAAAAAAAATGTTGTAAATACATATTATGTTCTTAGTCTTTACCAACGTTAATAGATTTTACTACCAGAAGAATTTCTGAATTTCTTTATTCTACTGACCACTTGCTTTCCTTAAAGAAGGAAGCTTTGTCCTGACCATCTTAAATAGCTCTTTTTCCCCTGCCCATATGGGAAGAATGAAATGAAGACCCTTAACAAGTATCTTGTAAGTATCTCCTCCCCACCGCTCCCCACCACACCCTTCTAAACTATGTATGTTAGACTCAGATCTTTCTTGAGGGAACATCATGAGAAACACAAATTGTCTTGACTAACAAAAACTAAAATCACTAACTTTCTCAGATAAGCTAAACATCTTGATTAAATCTGAGACCAGAGTAGCATCAGAAACAAATCAAATGCTTTGGCAAGTAGCTTAAGGTCTCATAAATCTCTTCCATTCCACAAAAAATTAACTGTTTTAATTCTGATCTCCCTGTGAAATGTGCTAATACAAGGAAACATTTCCTTCCCCAGGTGTTTGGACCCGTATTTTTCTTCCTCTTTTCACTTTCTGTATTTGTTAGACTGTTCCACATGGCAAGAAACAGAGCCCAGCTCAGGTCGTCTCAGTTAATGGGGATTTCTTTTAAAGCTACACGGGAGGTAATGAAGATGGAAAAAAGTCTCACTAACCAAGCAGGCAGGTCAAGTGAAGAACTGGAACGTCGTTCATCACTGTTCAGAGCACAGTAGCTCTAGTCTGCTGCCGGCTACTCTGGTGATCCAGCTCCAATGGTCCCTCATGGCTTGTGCTCACTTCTTCCCGTTTCCTTTACTTACAACTTCCTATTTTGCTAACTGCTACATTCTGTCTCTTCTCTATGTGATTTATAGCTGCCATTGCCTCCTAACTTCTATTGCTTCATTATCCCTACTATATTCATTGTATATTTTCTATTTATTGCCTACTCTAAGTTTATCAGGTATTGGCCCCACCTATGTTTCATATTCAAATTCTGTAGGGCAGAGGAATTGATGGGGTCTATCAGTCACTACGGAACACAAAGATTTGGCACCCAGGACCTCATAGTGATTAAAATGGCACCATTGATTCTGGTGCCCATTGCTGGGTAATTAGATGTGGTCCAGGTCTTGGGATAATTTGATACAATGAATGGATATGTATGGGCAAGGAAAACCTCCTAAAAAGACTTGTAGGTATGTGGGTCTGGAGCATTAATGTCCTGTCAGGTATGCCTTTAATAACGTATCAAAATATTTCAAAAAGAAAAGACAAGGAAGACATTTTTCTTTAAAAAAAAAAAAAAACCTACATTTTCATAGATTTTAAAATACAAACTTCTTATAAACAGATGGAATATGTGTCTAAATTCAAGCATAAATTCATTTTTGTGTGTTTATTTTACGTGATTATTTATAGTGTAATATCTGTAGAGTTCTGGGGAACTAATATCTATTTTTGTTTTGTAATTTTAACAAGTTTACGTTTTAAGTGAGTCTTACAGGATTTGGTCTCTGTGAGAATAAGCAAATTTTTTTTTTGTTTTGTTTGTAAAAATGTCAGGAAAAGTACACCCTGATGTTACTACTAATGAAGATGTATGTTTTAAAAATACTGGAAGTTCTTTTATGCTTTTGTGTTTGAGTGATGCTCTAAGTTTTAAAGCAAATATTATTATATAATAACTACATGTATCTTATAAGAATTTGTTGCAAATTTTATGAAAGGAAAATATAGCTAGCATTGAAATAGTTAATAAGTTAATTTTGTGCCGAGTTTAAAAATTCATATCCAAATTATGTTTTAACTTATACAGTCTTACAATCTTCTGAACTATTTTTATAACATTTCATTATTGCAACTGAACGAATAATCATGGAAAGAGATATAAACATGTAAAACCTGTTTTACATTTCCATTAAATTTTTCATTTATTTATCTAAATATCTTTAATTGGGATCACTTTCCTAATTGGCGTTCCAAATAAAAGTATTATTATTTTTTCAATGTTTCATTAAACAAGGTTAATATCCATGTTTGTCTACACAAAAGAAACGCCAATTAATCAATATAAATTATAGTAGCTCCATAAAATATTTTTGTAAATACTCAGTGATTGATCACTTCTGCCCAAGTCAATTCCAGAAGAACTACAGAATGGAGAGGAATTTGGATACATCATCATGTTGCGGCCAGTTGGCTCAACAACCTGGACCAAGGAAAGAGTACCATCTGTAGAATCATCAAGATTTGTTTACAGAAATGAAAGTATTACCCCCCTCTCTCCCTTTGAAGTCAAAGTGGGTGTATATAATAATGAAGGAGAAGGATCTCTGAGTACTGTGTCCATTGTCTACTCCGGGGAAGATGGTAAGTTGTGGTCAGCCCTGGAATGGTCATACTTGGGAATGTATGCATATGTTGCATTCATTTTCCATGAACCATTCTACTGAAGATGATTTTGTCTTTTTTTTGAATGATAGAACCTCAGCTGGCTCCAAGAGGAACTTCTGTCCAGAGTTTTTCTGCTTCGGAAATGGAGGTTTCATGGAATGCTATTGCCTGGAATAGAAACACTGGAAGAGTGCTGGGCTATGAGGTAATCCATATTAATTTCACTTCCACTTATGAATATGCCAGCTAACCATACAATTCTTGTTCAGTAGCCCTATGCTACTAACCTAGTTCTTAGGTTGTATGTCTATAGCTGTGGAGTGAGCAGAAGAGATCTTTCTAGGTGATCTTAAGCAAGCAAATTAACAAATGGTAGCCATTTGTAAGGTGACCAGATGATTATCTCATTTATACATTCAAATCACCATCATATTTGTTTCTTGGGGAATAATAAATATCTAATCCTCAATGATCTTGAATCATAGAAGAATTTTATTGAGAAAGCTGTCTTTGAATTGGAGCAGGACTTGAATAGATGTAGTCATCTTGGAAAAGGCAGTTAAATGATAAGAAAAAAAATCCTAGATTTTCATTAATCTGTCCTTTATAGTCTGTATAGAATGAGGTAAATCATATTTATGGGCCTTAATTCTCACAAAGTTAAACAATGAGACTTCTTAATTACTTTTTATTCTTTAGCTTGCAAATTCAGTGATTCCCCAAATGGATAACACATTTATTTTATTTTGGAGTTACAATAAAAATATAATTCTATACCTCTTTAGTTGATCCTTACACTGTTTTTGTTTTGCTTTTGTTTTTAATGCAGTTTCTAGTCCAAACAGAAAGTTCTATTCATATGATAGGTCTGTTACTCTAATCCAGGAATGCCTTACCTCTTATCTGAATCCTATTTATTTATGAAAGCTCATTTCTAGTTTCTTCCTCTAACTCTTCTCTGATCACTCCCTGATTTTGGAATTCTTCAAATTCCCAGAGCATTTTTTCCCAATATCACTTATTTGGAATGCATCCTCTGCATTTTGTTTGTCTATATATTCTAGCCTCTCAACTAGATTATAAGGGACTCAAAGGCAGGCACCAAGCTTTATTCTCTTTTGTCTTTTTCAATGTGCATAAATCAGTACTAATGTATAGGAAGAGCCTGATATAAGTTGAATTATTAATTAACCTGTCACTCAAAGATCTCTGGAGGAAATATCAAGAACCAAATGTAACTGAAGTCCTTTGTTGATGGTATGAATCTTGCTTTGGTCCAAGTGATTATATATACCCTTTGTTACAGTCGATAATCTTTAGATAGCTCATGCAGTATTTTATTTTGGTAACCTAAAAAAAACTCTAGATTCTCTGATTTCCATTGTGAATTTTTATTTTTTAATTTCCTCCCTATAAATCTTAGACTTTGATTATTTTATTGTTGTTGTATAACCATTGTAATTAGAAAATATTCTTCTATTTGTGCTCCTATGCTCCTCCCTTCCCATAACCTACCATGGTTGATACTTGCTGGCAAACAATGAATTGTTTGTTCTTTGTTTTTAATGATCAGGTATTATATTGGACAGATGACTCCAAAGAATCCATGATTGGGAAAATTAGAGTCAGTGGGAATGTCACAACCAAAAACATCACAGGGCTGAAAGCTAATACCATCTACTTTGCTTCCGTGAGAGCTTACAACACTGCAGGGGCAGGGCCCTCAAGCCCCCCAGTCAACGTTACCACCAAAAAGTCTCGTAAGTATGCATCCCACTGCAGGGACCAAGATTCATCTATAAATAGAAACATGTTCCTTTGCTCATTCTCCATTTCATTCCTCCCATCTTCTCATTTTACTTATTGCTTTGTTTGGTTAGTTTGTCCCTTAAATAAGGATAATTGTTGAAATTTTCTGATAACAATCAAAAGAAACCATTTTGATTTTTTGGAATTCCAAAAGAGAAAATATTCTGAGTATATAGATGCAAGATAGGAGAGTGTAATGTTTAAAAGCATAGGCTCTGATGCCCTCTCCCAACCTCAGTTCAAAACCTGACCTCCTGGGGTGCCTCGGGTCTCAGGCAGTTCAGCATGCAACTTCGGCTCAGATCATGATCTCATGGCTCACCAGTTGGAGATAGCTCAGAGCCTGGAGGCTGCTTCAGATTCTGTGTCTCCCTCTCTTTATGTCCCTCCCCCTCCTACGCTCTGTCTCTCTCTCTCTCAAAAAATGAATAAACATTAAAAAACAAACAAAAAAACAAAAAAAAACTGACCTCTCATTCTTGGATTATTGAGTGGTTATTTAATCTTGCAGAGTCCCAATATCCTCACCTGGAAAATGTGAGAATAATAGTACCTATTTCCTCACAAGACTTTCTTCAAGAGTGAAAGACATAAAGAATATATCTAGTACATACATTAGTACGTGCTTGGTAAATTGTTTTTCATTTGTTTCTATTTTGTCTTGTTTATCATTTGAGAATTAGACTGTACTCTGATGTGGCCCTAGCACTGCCAGATGTCTAGCTCTTTCTTTCTAGAATAACTTATCACTGCAGTATACTTAGAAGTCCCTCAGATTTAAGAATGAACTCTTCTGCTTCTTTTTAACTCCCTTAATAGTCAGCCAGCTGTCTTTCACATAGGCAAGGCCTGCTGAATAAAGGATGAGTAGTTGATCGTTGTTGCATTATGTTCTATGAGTGAGCCTGGTATTACACAAGTATTCTATATTATGAGGCACAGTGATCAAATATGATTTAGGAGCAGCTGCCATATGTCCTTTTTATGACTGTATAATTCTTGTATATTCCTTACCTGTTGCACGTGAACATAAATTATTTGTGTTCACGGGCTTTTAAAAACACATTCTTTGGTCTCTGAATCCCAATAAACAAGAGGATTCAAATATAGTTGCTGAATTTTGAGAAACAGTTCAAACCTTATATAGTTCAAATATAGTTGTTGAATTTGGAAGAAGACTAAGATATGGATACATAGGAAAAGGATAGCTTGCTGTTAAATGCAGTATTCTTTTCTGTGTATTGAAAAAGAACAGGTGGTTGAAGTCAGTTTGAAAATCAAGTGATATAAAGTTTTTTTTTTCCTGTAAACATATATTTGTCCTATCCAAAAAGAACTTAGACATAATCTCAGTTATTAAACCTTTGACTATAGAATACATGATGCATTTATGTCCATATCACCCGTCAAGTAGCCAAAGACCTGGGTTCTAATTATGGATACATCACTGATTCATGACCTGAAACAGGACAAGGCATTCCATTTTGTTGCTTTAATTTTCTTATCTGCTAAGTGGAAATTCTCTCTACCTTCACTCCTTTCCCAAATCATTGGTGAGGCATAAATGAAGTGCTGATTATAGGAGCACCTTGAAAAATACAAGGTGCTGTGAAACTGCTAGGGAGAAACAGACAGGTAGCAAACAGCCTCTGAGGATCAGTCCATTTCAAGGGGAGAGTGGGGCCAATAATTCTTAAACCAGCTCTCTTCCAATCTACCCAGTTTGAAAGAGACTGGGTCATGAGCAGTCCTCAAGAACTGATTAACTAGAAATGTAATTCTCTTTCTCTTCCCGTTTTATCCCATGCTGACCAAATCAATGAAGCCATTGTCATATATGGGTATGAATGATTTGCTTCTGGAGTTCTTCTGGAGTCTAACCTTTTTCAGCTAATCTTCAAATCTGGATGGAAATTTCCAGTGGTTTTAAGATTGTCCAGGTATTCAGAGATGCCAAACTCACAGAAACCCGTTTGTGTAATTCAGTTCCTATCTCAGGCACTATCAAGGGTGATTTGAAATGTGTAAAGATAGTATTTAAAAAACCTCACAGATTTGTATCGTGATTGATGGACAGACACGACAGTGCAGTAATTGAGGCAACGCTTAAGTCAGCTCATATTATCTATACTCATATTGACCAGTTTAGGGTGGACTGGGACCCGAACAATAAACTACTTTAAGAAGCTTTCAAAATAACTTCCTTTTCTGCAACCTGAATTTGCTAGTTTGATCATCTGTACAACTTAAATCAACCATGCATTAGTTTGTGCTAACTTACTCTATGTGTTTAAGCATAAAACTCGTCTTTGACATGGTGACCCCATGTTTGTTCAGTTGCCCTCCTTCAAGTACTTGATACTTCAAGTGGCCTTAACTGAAATTTGGATTAAATGCCAAGATGATCATAGGTGGCTTGTCTGAGTGTTCACACGTGCTCATTGTTGTCAAAGAGTATGGGACATATCCTTTGAAAACAGTTTGATTAACAAGGAACGATTTCACCAAGATGTAATGTTAGAATGTATCTGCTGAGAGAAAATTGAGAGGAGATTCAGGAAATTTAAAATGCAGTTTATTATTTTTAAGCATTCATATTCTTTCCTGATTAAATCAAACAAATGAAAACCCTTATAACTCCTAATTTCTTTAGGGCAATTTTGTTCAAATATTTCTTAATGTTGGCTTTCACCAGTCTGTATCCTTCAGTGTCCCAGCCAAAAGGACTTGAGAATAAGAAGTTCTACAGGTCTCTAACTCATTACATTTGAGTTATATTTGAATACCAAGTAAACCTCTAATTTTCTTCTGTAACATTCTATATCATTGTCATTATGAAAATAGAATAGAAATTTTTTTCCGATTCCTATTGTTACTGTTCAGATTTCCACAACTTAGTGGTACAAAGAAATACAAATTTATTTTCATACCTTTCTAGAGGTCAGAAGCCAGAAATGATTTTCAGCGGTTGGAAATCAAGGTGTTGGTGTCAGCTGTGCTCCTTTTGGAGTCTCTAGAAGAACATGTGTTTCTTTGTGTTTCCTGGCTTCTAGAGACCACCTGCACTCCTTAGCCGTGACCCTTTCCTCTATGTTGAAGGCCAGCAGCTCCTTATCTTTAAATCTCCCTGTGACTCTCACCCTCTGTTTCTGTCATTGTATTTCCTCTGACTCTGCCCTCCTACCTCTGTCCTTCCCTCTTAAGAATTGTACTTCACCCACCTGGAGAATCCAGGATTGCTTCCCATCTAAAGATCCTTAATTTAATCATACCCGGCACAGTCCTCTTGT